TACCTCCTCCTCCTCCTCCTTCACCTTCGCCTTCTGCCGCTTAGTGGGAGAGACGACCTCGGGTTCCTGTGGGAGAAGTGATGTATATTGTTCAGCCATCTGTGTAGTTGTTATACAGTAACGCAAGGCCTACCTTCTTCATCTTTTTCTTTTTCGGCTTGGCACTGCCGTAATCATCGTTCGGCTCGTCCTTGACCCGCTTCTTAGTCTTTTCCTTGGACTCCTTCTTGATCTTCTCTTTCTTGACCTTCTTGCGCGCCAGCAGCGGAATGTCGTCGTCGTCGTCATCCATGCCGCCGTCACTGCGATCGGTTGCCTCCGGTTTGCGCTTGCGCATTGCCAGCGGCACATCCTCCTCGTCGTCCATCTCCTCGCCCTCATCGTCCTGGTCAATGTAGTTCATGGAGCTGTCCTCTTCGACGTAGCTCTGCTCATGCTTCACCTCGAACGGCGGCTCATCGGCGCGAAACTGCGACATGGAGTAGTCACAGGAGCTAGCTTGCGACAGATTGTTAAAGCTCTCGTCCTCCTTCTTAATGTCTACGATCGATTCCTCGTAGCCGTTCTTATAGTTGACACCGCCATCGTTTCCATTGCCATTACAATTGGCGGCGGCTGCGGTTTCGTAGCCACCGAGCTGCTGCAACTGGAAAGGATCCACCGGGCCCGAGTGCATAAGCGATTGGGAAACGGGCTCCGGCTTAACAAACACTCCATCGTACGATGGCGGGTCTTTAGAGGAAGATGATGAGCTGCTGTGCCGCGAACTGGAATGTTTGCTCTTCGATGAGGATGAAGAGGAGCTCTTGTGACTGCTGCTGCTGCGCTCTTTGTCACGGGAACTAGAGGACGACTTGTGCCGGCTGGATGAACTGCTGCTGCGATCTTTGTCCTTATCCCGTCGCTCCTTGTCCTTCGAGGAGCTCTTGTGGTGGCCAGACGACGACGAGGACTTGTGCTTGCTGCTACTGCTGCTTCCATCCTTGTCCCTGTGGCTGGACGATGAACTGCTGCGATGCGAGTTGCTGCTGCCGTCGCGCTCCTTGTCCTTGTCCCTATGCTTCGACGACGAGCTGCTGCTGCTCTTGTGTCGATCCTTGTCGCTAAAATGGATAAGGTCAGGGTTATTAGTTGGTTTCCTTATGCACAGGTATTATTCGCCGACTTCCGACATTCGATAGTATAGCCTAATCTATAGCGCTTCAAGATGCTAATCTCATTCTTTATGCATTCTTACTTTAAAATACTTGGGAACTGCCCCAATGCAAGTACTCCATGCCATTCTAGACGGAATACCTTTAAAACGGATAGATATTTCATATCACTTGTTGGGTTATTCACCTGCATACGTTAACATGTGATCCGAATAGTTTGTCATTGTAAATTGATTTTGATACCTATAGCCATGTACAAATTAAGAACAAGTGACGTTTAGTATGAGCACTATTACGAATCCCAGGTGATTGCATTGTTCTTTCCTGACTTTCCTGACCTATTTTGACTGTTCCAGATGGATCGACACGAGTGGCCCGAATGGAATCGAACTGCTCCTACGTACCGACTGCTGCTCTTGTGCTCCTTCGACGAGCTGGAGCTCTTGTGTTCCCTGTCCTTATCACGGTGCTTGTCCTTGCTGGAGGATTTATGCTTGCTGCTGCTCCCGCTGCTGCTGTGGTGATGGTGGTGGTGTCCGTGTCCATTGGTGGTCAACCCGTTGGATTGAACCACCTCGCAGCTGCCACCATTTTGTATGTGGATGCTCTGCGGGCGCGAAAGAGATGGCGAGATGAAAGAGAAGAAAGGGAGATGGTATCAGTTAGTTAGTACGCAGATGGATCAGCTGAAAAGTGAGAGTGAATCCGGGCCAGAAACCTGTGCATCCGTCATGTTGCCCGAACTGGTCGCAAAAATCTTGTGGATCGGCTTGATTTCCTCTCGATTTCTGGCGATGATTTGCTATTATCTCGTGTCTATCCGCTCACCACGTGGTGAAAATCAACCCTAACAAATGCCGCGTAGGAAAATTCACTTCAAACTGTCAGCAATGGGTTAATCGAAGAAGAAGAACAGCTGCAGAGCGATGGCGACAGGAAATTGGAAGTTGTTTCCGAATTACTTGGAATAGGTTAATATATGTTTTATAAAAAAACCTTGCCAAACAATGACACACACACACGCACTCGAATTGTACAGAATACAGAAAATCGTTGTATTTTATTACACTTTTTGCAGCATTATTTTTTTCCACAACTACACAGACACACATATGCACACTGGGTTATTGTTGTTATTGCGGTTGCATATTATTCATCGGGGACATTTGCTTGTTCCTGTTTTTTTTTTTGTGTGTGTTTTGGGGTGGCACATCTGTCTTATCAGACGGCAAAACACTTTCATATATGTATGCATATAGAAATGTAATTGCAAAATGGGACACTTGCAATTACATATGTACATAAACGCTGCGGGCCAACAACAACAACAAACACATGTGATTTTGTGTGAGGTAGAGGGCAGTGTGGCCAAATTTGGCAGTAACCTGCGAAAAACAATGAAATTGAGACGCTGCGCGAACGTAAATAAGGCAAGTTGCAATGAAAAGAGTGTAAAGAGTTTGTTAAAGGGTGTTTTTAAATGGGAAAATCGTGGAAAAGCAACGTTCGAGTGGCTGGTGAAAATACTAGCTTTGATAAAAATACCAGTCAGCTGCGGCCACACTGTGCCAAATACATTTCGTCTGCCTCGGCTCTTCCCCTCTCCGCTTTGCACCCGCCATCGCCTTTTGCCACTTGCATTGTCGCCATTTTCGTCAATTACCAAAAGACCTCTTCTTATTTTTTCTCCGCTCGTTTTTCTCTCCTTTTCTGCTCGCCTGCATTTTACGCACTCTGCTGGCAGCGACGCCGACTGCGCTGCAAACAGCGAGCGGTACACTTGCAACTATTCTGTGCACCCTACAATTATTCGGTGCAGAATTTAACTTGATTTTTGCGGCAGGCAGGCTGCCGACGGCAGGCAAAGTCCCCCCATTCAACACGTTTGCACATTACATAAAAAAAGGAATTGGATTTTTCGTTAAGGGCACTTACATTTTCGACAGCCACATCCTCACTCATTTTGCGGAGCTCGCCTAGCGGTTTTACTTTTATTTTATTCTTCCCTTCTCACACTTTCACACTTTTCGACTGAAGGTTTTCTCCACTATTCTTTAGAACTTTGTGTTGGGGCTCCTTCAAGTGGCAACAGCGGCGGGGAAACAAAGGCGCACTGGGGGTTTCCGAAATGGAGCAGCGTTTTGTGCTTCTGGCGATGCGTTTGCCCTTGCTTTTTGGCTTCTTTGCGTTTTACAGCGCGCAGCAGCCACGCGAACGTTGTCTCCCCGATAGGCCCCGATAGGATCGGACAAATAGCGACTGATGTTATCGAAGAACGATGTTAACGATAGCCCGATATACCGATAGGTCTGCTTCGGGCAGTGTGACCTTTTATAGCCATACCAGTCGATACCAGCCTGCCAATTATTCCGCACATTTTCACGATAGCTTAGTAATAGTATTTCATCCATTTGAAAACCTTAATAACTTTAATAAAAGCTAATATAAATTTGACTTTCTACTTTCTTTCACTTCGTACAAATTTTATTTCCCACTATTCTAAAATAGGGGCACATTAATAGCATTCTATGAAAATAAACTACAATAATATACATATTTATAGAAATTCATTAAAGAACTGCAAATAAAAACAAATAAAACAACCGCCATAACTGCTTTATCATCGTTTTATATGTAGGTACACAAGTTTATTCACTAATACATTAGTTTAATATTAATTTAGATAAAAAAAACAAATGCATAACAAACATTTAACAGAGTTCTCATATTTTTTTTTGCCTCAGCATTTTCTGTTTTCTTTTTTTGTGTGTGTGTGTGTAGTTTCTTAACTTCCGTTTTTATGCTTTTACATCGACTTATTAGTTTACATCGAACCATATATGCATCTAATTATGTATGTATATATTTGTGTAAATTGTACTTGGCTCACTTGCTATAGTGCACCGTGCTTGGCCAAAATTCATCAATTCGTCCGAATTTATCTTAACCATAACAACATTAAACATCTATAAAAAGTGTTCGTACAGTAAATGTAATTAAACTATGCCACTCATCCTTTTAGTGCGCGTATGAATATTTGTTATATATGTATATATTTCCTTTTTACGTTTTAGTTATAGATTTACGGGTGTTTCCATCTTGGTATTATGTATGTGTGTATGTAGTTGGTAACAGTCTTTTATCACGTTTAGTTTGGGCATTACGCACAACGTATGGTACATAGGTTTTGATAGTATATTTCATTTAGCCTAATAATTGTTTAATTCCTCCCATTTACGCTAATATTTATGTTTATCCTTTGTGGGTGTTTGTTGCCGTTTCCGCCTTCGATGGAAATTGACGTGACTCCTTTCTATTAATATTTGTTCTATCTTCTTTTGTTTGTTTTTGGAAAATGTGGATCAGCAAATAACAGCAAATAACAAATTGTAATCAAGAGAATCAGTTGTTATTGGATTTAACTACTAAACATGTTTCTAACATTCTAAACGAAATCGGAAACGGCAACGGTAACGGTAACTAGTTCTACATGCATGTAAAAGTCCTTCTACGTGGGACAGAAAGTTAAAAACAACAAACTGAACAAACAGTGTATATATGTACATATATATATGTGGATCATGTGTGTGTGTGTGTGCATGTGGGCGGGACGTCTAAAGTATGCTTGTCTCAGGCTCACTCATATGTAGGTTGAGGTTTAATGGTTATCTATCAGTATCTGTATCTGAATCTGTTGCGCAGCAGTTACCGAAAGACCTAACCCTCAATTATTGGTTCTATTACGGATTAGGGACACTTTGGGTGTTTGGGCTTGAGCTGGCTGCCAAGACAGTAGTTACATATCACATCGATGAAACCCTTCAGTCGAGAGTCGATCGGGCGCTCCCCATCTCTCTAGTTCTGGTCGTCCTCCTGAAGCGGCTGTTCCTCATGATTTCGATCCGACTCCGATGACTTGCGGGTGGTGGCCTTGTGCTGCAGCTGCTCCTCGTACTCGCTCTTGATGTTCACATACAGTTCACTTTGTTTCTGGTGCTCCTGCTGCAAAGGGTCACAAAAATAATACGGTCAACATCAATCACAAACTGTGTGTATGTATATTTCATTTGCTTGTAATTGGATTTCAAGATTTTCGTTGTATAGCTTACCATGATCTCATCGAACCGCTGGTTGGCATGGGGCAACTCGAAAAGCTGGCTCTGTTCCCGCAAATTCCTGGCCACATTGAGTTGTTGGGTCAGATTTCGCCCGATTTGGTCCAGTGACGTGTGCAGCACGTGCTCGATTTCTGCCGGCAAATAATTGAAATTTGAATGGAAAAATCAAAAGTAACTATCACAAAAGATGCCAGAAATAGCCGGCAGTAGTAAATCAATTTCGAAATTAACCGGCAGCCAACTCACCAGTGCTGGGCATAAAGCGCCGCTTGGGCTGCTTCTCCTCGGTCTCCGTCAGAGCAGTGCTGCTCCTCTTTAGGGTGGACCCAACCGCCTGGGGATCGGGCGGGGGTGAACCCTGGCAGAAGTCGCAGGGCGAATGAGACTCGCTGCAGGTGCAACTGCCCAAGGAGCTAGGCGAATTGACTGTCGCCGTGGATCCGTGGACACCGCGCAGATGTTTGCCCGCCGTTACATTCACCACCCTAATGCTCTTCGAAATCGACGACTTGACGGAGCATGTTTCCGGTGGAATCAGTGCCAGGGGCGGGGTCTTGGAGCTACCATGCCCGTGGGAGGAAAGTGCCGAGGCACCACGATTCGATCGACCGTGGTGGCTATCATAGGGATCGCCGAATTGGGACACACTGCGTGCGCCATCGTCCTGATCCTCATCATCATCCTCCTCATCGTCGTCGTCATCCTGTGTTTCATCGACGTCACCATGGCAGCCATTCTCGCCTGATTTCTGCAGATTCTGGATGAGCCGCAGCACGGCCTTCTCCAGCAGAGCCGGATGCTCGGAGGCGGGCACATCGATGGTCGCCTGCGGTATCTGGGTGTTGATGATCACCGAGAACTTCTTCTTCATCTCCTGCACCCGCCGCTTGCCCTCCTCCTCGCCAAGCAGCGTGTTCACACAGACAAAGGAGTGCACCTTGTTCGTCTCCTTCTCGATCTCCAGATAGCCCTTCGATTGCAGGTAGATGATGCTCCCGTTGCGGGTGAACAGCCGGTAAGTGGACTCGCCATAAGAACTATTGCAGTCGTACACTGCAAGGTGTCAAACAGATGATGGGTTGGAGTTGGAGTACATATGCCATGGTTTGATATGTTATGATATGGTATGATATGGTATGATGTGGTATGATATGGCTAGGTTTGAACACTTACTTTGCCGCAGGGCCACGATCACCCAGCGCACATCGTCGTTGTGCATGAAGGTGAATGGACTGAGATGGCGCACCTCGTCCGTCATGTAGCCGGCCACAATACCTATCCTCTGGTCGCAGTCGACGATCCTGCCGTCGATCAGGTGGCGGGTTTTGTACTCCATTGTGTTGGCATCAATCAGCCGACTGGCGATCTTTGGCGGACGGATGATCCGGGCGCAGCCAGTCAGAATCTAAATGAATCATGGATTACGGATTATGAAGGCCTTGTAGAGGTGTGGAAAAGTAGGCTGCATGATAGTTTTAGTTCGGAGGTACAAGCGTAGTTACTTGCAGCATACTTTTGGACAGGATCTTTTCAAAATAATGGAAATAATGGATCAACTTACGATATCGTTGCCGCTAATGGTGTGCAGAGGAATGACATCATCACGCCCGCGCGTCCTCCTGATCAACTGCATATTGGAGCTGAAATGATTGGAGCGTACGCCGCGTGGCGCTTCGTCACTACGCCGAAAACAGCCATCGATCTTGACCACTTCGTAGGCGGTGGGTTCCGATCTGGGACCAGCACGAGCCAATCTGCATGAAAACATAGTATATTGTCATAATAATAAGATCTGAGTCATGATCAAATCTCGAACCAACCTCACTCGAAAACTGCGTCTGTCCTCGCGCAGCTTGCGATCGATGGCGTCCTCCTCGTCTTTGCTCCGCTGGCGGGGCTCACCGTCCGCATCCGAATCGCCATGGGCGTCGAAGAGGTTCTCCAGCTCGGTGGGGATCAGTTGCTGCTTGAGCATGTTCTGGTCCTCGGGATGGGTGATCTGCATGATGCTCTGCCCATACAGATCCGACTGACAGTGGCCCAGGTGCTGCTCAATGCTGGCCGAGACCAGCAGTATGTGGCCATGGCAGGTGAGTGTGAGGAAGAAGCTGTCCATCATGTCCATCAGGGTGTCCGTGATCTGTGGTCGCTGCTGCATCAGACTGTTGCCGAAGGCTGAAGGAGATTTCATGTAGTATTACTATTTATTTGCAGGCATGTGATAGGATATGATATAGCTTACCATGCTTCAATCGCAATGCGTGGGCGGCGAAGCGCAGAACGGCTGTTTTGTCCACTCGACGTGGTGACTCCGCCACATGGGGCACCATTGTGGATAGTTCCTGGATGGATCCATTCAGCTTGTCTCGCCGGTTCTTTTCCGCCCGGTTTCGCGCCTCCCGACCACTGAAAAATAGTACATATACTCGTATGTTAAATTTTATGTATTTACTTTACTGGTTGGTTTTTCGCACATAAAAGCCTATGCCATCATTTCAAAACCTTTTAAGAATTAGCATTTCATTATAATGACACACATTAGGCTTATGGAACTTCTGGCATTAGTGAATGGGGTCAGAATATTATTAGGAGCTTGCCTTAATATGCGAAATGAAAACTTATTAATCGGCTCATAAAGAGCAGAAGTAATTTCCCCGTGGGGCAGGTAGTGCAGTTCGGCATTAGATGAGAATAAGCATGCACTTATAAGTGTTGAACCTCTTCAAAGTGCCAGCAATGCTTAGACTACAGCGTCAGATTATTTGGATAATAAAAATGCACCATGGATGGGGGACTGCTCGCTAATAAATAACACACAATGTATTATTCGGTTGCAAGCGATTAGTGCTTGTTTGTTGAGGTAGGAATTCGGGATGTCCGGGGAAATGCGGTTGTGGCTTAAAGTACTGCGCACTTTTGGACTTTTGAACAGCTTTATAGGATTTCTGCTTTTATTAGACTTCGTAATTGAACTTTCGTTCAATACCCATATTACGCATGTTGCATAATTATCTGGAGGCAGAGCAGCTTGCACTCGAAAGCTCGCCGGCATCGTTTGTCCGTAAGATGTCCGTATATATATGTCCGTATCTATATACTGATTTACTGATACATATTGATGCTGATATATGTACATATGTATGCATGTGGCACATGACTGGGCATTTGTTTGGCCGTTACGCAGTCGCAAGTATTACATAGTGCCCCGGCTAGACTATGACAACAAAACAGCCCCTTCTGCCCCTGTGCGTCTCAGTCTGTCAGTAATTATCAGTTTTGCATGGGTGGCGATTCGCGTAGGGGGCGATTGGTTCGGGGCTTCGAGTGCAATGATCACGTTCTGTTTGGTGAGGCTTTGGTTCGTTTCACTTGGCGCCAAATGTCTTGAACAATATATTGCGATTGCGTAAAGCGATGCACAGCAAATAATTGGGTAGCGTTTTTACCAAAACCTGTTATTAATTAGTTAGTGTTAATGCAGCTTAAGACTCGTTTTGCGAACTAATTTAATTGCAGATGTGATGGATATTAGCTTTTGAACATTTTCGTGCTATTTTCTTTCCGTGCCGGGTTCATGAGTAATTCATACTCCATCCAATTGGCTACCGCTGTCCGCTGCCACAATGTTGTTTTAGACCCATCCCGTCCAAATGCCCCACTTCACTTCCTATGGCCAACCCACAAGCCCCAACCCCTATCTCCACCCCCCTTACTGATGTAATTTATTTTAAAACGCAATTGCAAAACAAGTTCGAAAAATACACACAGACATTGGCGAGTGCAAAACGAAGTGCAGGAGCAATTGCAATTGCAATTGCCATTGCATTGGCAAAAGCAATGCAAACAGTTGCACAAAAAAATAAAATCGAAGAAAATAGGAATAGGAAAATCAAAATAAAGGCATCCTAGGCACTGGGAAAGTGCGCAACAGCCAAATAAACAAAATGCAAACCAATGCAAATACTTGGAAAAAGTAAAGTGGATATTTCAAGCAAGATAAGATCGAATACAAAAAAGGTACATATGTACGCCGCATAATGTTTTAAAAATATTTAATAGTAAATCGTTAAAAAATAGTGCTCATTTTAGAGATAGCGAAAGGTAACTGACCTCAGCGAACAAATAAAAACGAAAACATTAATTCTTAAATTTCAAATAAAGCCTCATACATTTTGCACTCAAAACGACGCGAAAACGACCGATACTAAAAACAAGCCATTACAAAATCCATAAACGAAAAAATATTTGGACCAAAAGCACTATAGTTTGCTTAATCACCCTGCGAACAATGTGTGTTAATTTAATATACCGTCATTTTACATATCCCATTGCTGCAATGGCTTACTTCTAGGGTATTCGAAAAATGTGCAACCGACTCCCATTGCGATTCCCAATTGCCGATGCAGCGATTTGCTGGCCTTGATTGAGTTAGCACAGTGCACTGCACCCTTGCACTTGATGTCAAATTGTTGTCTGTGCAATTGTTGGCCAAGTGGCCAACGACTGTTGGCTTGGCCTCTCGAGCTGTCTACTTTTTAGCCATTTCCAAGTGCCATTTCCCATACACACACACACACATACCCACACCCACACACACACAAGCACTTACACACGTAATTGTGCACATATGCCGGCTGAGTTTGTATGGATGTTATCGGCGAGTGTGCGATTGCTTATTTACTCAACTTGTTGCATTCGCCGCTGAATGGGGAATCGAGCTACACTTGTAAAATCTGCACAAGCACTTATTGACCAGAAACTGGAACTGCGCTTTTTGTTTGAGTATAAATAGCACGTTTTCATTCGGACCACACTGCGTATGGGTAATTTACTCAAGACTCTCAGCAATTAGGTACTTTAAAAATATTTTTAATTACTTTTCGATTATATCAATTATGGGATAGGGTTGGATATCGTTATTATCGATATGTTCGATTAAAAATGGTTTGAATGGAACTAAGTCCCTAGCACGCATTTATATAGTTGAATGAATGGACTTTTGCGACATTATTTGAAATTTCACCAGCAATGCGCCCTATTTTCTGCAAGTGCACTGGCGTCTGCCCGCTTCCGCAGTCTGTCTCGTTTGCGCTTTCTGTTTGTTTGCTGCCGCTTACAATGTAAGTGCGCGCGTATCGTTAACTGCCGGCACCACCCAACACCCAACAACCAACACACCCGCCTACCGAGACCCACCAGCACCCACCAACACCCACCGCCCAACCTGCCCCTCTCAACCGTCGGATGCGGTAGCAGCGACCTTGAAGCCGCGCTAATGACGTATCGAAACGCATCGGATTATAAGTTCGCGAGTAACGGTACAGCAACGGCAAAAGCGATACAAATGCATACACATATGGCCAAGTAAATAAGGAAACGAGTGCAGGGTGTTCTGCTTATGGTCTGTCAATCAAAGTGGGCGCTCTAAAAGGGGCGGCCAAAGGGTGGGTGGACTTGTGCAGCTCTCCTGCAGCTCGGATAATGGCGTTTCGCTGAATTAGGAACTGCGAATGCCGAATGAATGCCTGCCTGTCCAGTCGTCTCGGTGACGAAAATAAATCAAGCAAAATGCTGATAAAAATATATTTGAAGCGCCCACGGCCGCCTTAATCAAGTGATTTTCGGTGGTGTGGGGTGCTCAGTTGGTGCCACAAGTGCCGCAAGTGCCACAAGATGACGCCTAATTGGGCGGAGCAATCTTCAATCAGGCCAGCCACTCAGCAGGAAGCTGGAAACTTGGAGTGGGCACTTCTGAATAATGCCAATTTGGCCGCCCGACCTCCTGTCGCGGGGCCACGGGTGGATGCTGCCCCCCATTAGCGCAGTGGGTGGGATCCTCGCCTCGAAAAGGGGGTGCACACGATTTGCGTGCGTCTTGAACTAATACATCCCCCAGGTTTCGGATTACAAAGCAATTATTCCTATTGGCAGGCTGAAATAAACCGTTTTCACATCTTAAAGATTCCAGATATATGTGTATATAGTATAATGAGTTTCTAGCTAGCGAAGAAATGATAGCCATAAGAACTTAAGTATTCAATGAATTGTAGCTTGGTAAGCTCACAAATTCAGTAAAGGATCCATGGAACTCACCTATTCGAGAGCTGAAACATCTCCATCATGGTCTCGTGCGGATGCGGGTGGTGCGGATGTGGTGAATGATGCGGATGCTGCGGGTGGTGGGCGTGCGGATGTGGCTGCGGATATTGATGGTGCAGCGCATGCATGTGGGCCGAGTGTCCAGGATATGCCGCCTGCATTGCTCCCGGAGCCGCACCGGGCCCAGAACTGGCTCCTCCGGGCACTCCGCCCGGTCCGTAGCCCATGTACCTGCCACCGGACGCGGCTCCTCCTGCGGATGCTGCCGGTCCGTATGGTGCATTCGGATACCACATGTTCGGATAGAAACCAGACGGATTGCCATGCGCCGGGGGATGTGCAAACGGATGCAGACCACGAGAGTTGGTCACTCCTGAAGCCGCAGGCATTGGACTACCCGGCGATCGGTAATTGAAGTGGTACATGGAACTGGAGGGCGGTCGGAGCATTAGATCGCAACCGGATCCGGCGGCAGAGGGCGTGGGCGATTGATAGAAACTGTTCTCACCACTGCCACTCCCACTGGGCGCATAGTCGCTGCCAAGCACCGAGCTCTCATTCTCATCCGGATAGTTGTCCTCCTCGAGCTCGACGGCGGGAGCCGTCTCTAGCGGCGCATCCGCATTCACATCCGCACCCACATCCGCACCCACTTCCGCATCCACATCCGCAGCGGGATCCCAGGCCAGCTCGTCCAGCTGGCATTCGCTCTTGCCCAGATCAAGAAGATCGGAATCGAGGGCCTGCGGTGCGTCAAAGTAGGGAATGTCTTGCTTGAGATCCTCAATGTCCTGGCCGCGACCTTGACTGTGACTCGTGGAGGAGTTCCTGCTGCGACTGGCACCCTCCATGTTCTCTAGCTGGAAAATACAGAGAGGTGGACGGGTTCTGTGAGCGATCGGCTGAGGAGACCATTGCATCATTGATAGCTGATAAGAATTCGAAGCCCCCTATTTAAAATTGCCCAGTAGATTATTTTCCCATTTAATGACGAGGGCACTGATATAAAAATTAATGGTTTAGTGTTCAACAATTATGTATCAATTATATAATTATATACCAAATAATAAGAGTGTATATTTATTTTATAAAGGTTTGTTTAATTAATCCCATTCAATATACTAAAAATAATAATGTACCCTATAATTTCTTCTAATTTCTTGTTCCATTATGTAAATATTTAATAATATTAATAATATTATTAAGTAAGCATTAATAATATTTATGCGTACCCATTTCTCCCAGTGCACTTAAAGACAGAACATTGTGTTTTATTGTCAAATGCCGTTCTCAAAACATTAATTTGTTGTCTTTTCAAAAAACTAAATTTAGCCGGCAACGAAACCAAATAGTGAGCAAGAAAATGAGCGCAATTGGACTCGACGTTCCTGGGATTTTTTATGATCGAACTCGTAAAACGCTCAAACCATAAACGATTTTGGGTCATGGGCGGCGCAAGGGGGGATTCACTTTCTTGGTTGAATGACTCAAGCAAAAGCAGAAGCAAAAGGCAAAGAAGTCCACATTATTTATATGCGAATCCTATCCAAGTGTCGCCTATAAATAATTCAAAACACTATATACATAGATACGTGCCCATGGACCTGCTCAGATCACACACAAAAATATAACCGTCTATTCAGGGCAGATCTTTGAACTATATTTACTCCTTCCATTTCCTTTGGCATATTTTCGTATATTATTTTCTTGCCTCTGATTCACATGACAATCGTATTTGGTGGTCGAGGGAATCGCGGGGAGTTCTGGTCATAAATTTTGTATTTTTCTGCCCTCGAGCTGGCTGTTTGTTTGTTTTTCCTTGTGGACAATTGAGGCTTTCCATCTATATAAAACTAGCATTGCCGTGGGAAAGAAGCAAATTTCTCGAACGCTCATATAGAAATATATATCTATTAAAATATTTACATTTATTTAACTTAATAAAACATCGGGCAATTCCTGAAATCTCGTATTTCAATTTATATGTACATATATTATTGTATATTGTAATATTTGATGATATTGATCTCAAATGGCTTTTGTTGATACCACTTTCTTATTACTTTTCAATTTATTCATCATGGTTTCTAGGAAATATGGTTAATAATTAATAGCTTAATTAAAAATGAATTTATTTCACTTCTGCGTTTCTTAGCAGAAATTTCGATATTGACAGAGATATGACATAAACAAATAAAGAGATAGTTCAATTTACTGTACGAGTGCACAGTAAGAAATGAAGATATTCATGTGCCCTAGAATAATTATTAATAATTTTTATTACCGCTTGGCTTGTAAGTAACTTTCTAGCTTGCTATCAGAACTCTTAACCGAGCAAAAATAGACTGCAACATAAGAATAAAAATGTGATAAATTACGAAAGAAGACTATATGGTCAACAAGGAAGTCAACAGCCACTCGACAACTAAGTAATATGCAATCCAAGCATTTCTTTTTCCAGTTATCATCGGCGTTTGCCGTAATAACTGCGCTTCTTTTCTTTATTAGTTTATTTAACTGTTGCACATTTTTCTCCGCCATTCCGAATTTGTTTTGCAATTGTTCTCGAGTGGCGCGTAAACAGCGTCATAAAGACAACGAGGGTGGACATGTCAATTGCTGCCAAAATCAGACGGCGTTGATGTCACAGCGCGCAATGGGGCGTATACGCAATGGGGACCCAACCAGTTGGTGGGCCATCAACCGAAAGTATCTAAAGTAAAGTTCAGTACTACCACCACTGAAACCACTGAATAAATGGTGTAGTACTTGAGTACTTGAGGTGATCGCTGTGTTGGTGAAACGGGGCGTATACGCAATGTGATAAAAACCAAACGATTAGATGGAATTAAGTGCCTATTATTTGTTCCTTTTCTATTAGGTGCTCAAACTAATAAAATGTGTAGATTATTGGTTTAACCGTTTTTAACTAATGATTTATTTGGAGATCCAAGTTTCGGAGCATATATTTAGGCAAATTACCCTTGCAGGCTTTGAGTTTTTACTACAAACCACTATCATCAAAGTAATTGCACGAAAAAAACGAGAGTTGAAAGCTAATCAGCCCTTTTTCAAGTTGATTTACGATATTTCAAATGAAATCATGAATGACAATAAAGCCCCTGGCCTGCGATTGATAATCAGCAAAACAAATTCGCCCTAATTGCTTTTATCTTGAGGAACTGTTTCAACCAATGTAAAGTGGCACACGACACGCCTCCAAAACTCTATAGCCCGCAAATCGATAAAGTTTGCCATGGGATAGCCCAAAATTGCCGATTGGCCATATACATTTTAGGTATAAACGTGTGCGATGAGCACATACATACTTATGTATGCACATATATATATATATACACGTATGGGAATAGGGCAAATTTAATCTTTGTACAGATATTAAACATGGGTATTGCCTCTGATAAGCCGCCAACCGAAATCGCTGGCGTGCTCTTCTCGATTGCTTTCCACCAACAAATTCAACGACCATGGCCAGACACCCACCAATTGTTGTTGAACCCGTCGCCTTTGTTGAGCATTTCTGGCGTTGGTGGTGGTGTTATAGCCAAAGTGTAGATATCAAGTTCTGACAGTTACAACTTTGGTATATAACATTTCAACATTCGGGGAACCTGAAACAAGGTTTAAGGCAAAAGATCGATCTTGGTTGTAATCGTTAACCCTTTGTGTTTCGAACAAGTTACAGGTGTACAACAATAGATGACCCTCAGAAGTTCTAAACATGTTACATAGTTCGTAATCCCCTCTAGCAACCATTGTAATCAAACATTGTTGCATTGCCCTCTGAGTCATGGCCAACTAGTATTCACTCGATAAGGATAATGCAAGTGATGGCCGTAACTAGCGAGTTGGCTAAGTCAACAACTTGGGACGGTGATTTTCTAGTATTTCAGTATTGCTTAGATTAGATTAAAGATTTGGATGAAGGGAATATCCAGCGTTTAGGCACATTGTACATGAAAATAATAGCAAGTATCGTCAGGGCTGCCACCTAAGATTATCACTTGTTACTGTTATATATCAATTAATCATTAGAATGAGTCCATTAAATTATTTATGGTACCATGTATCATAGCTTGTACAGGGTTGTCACCTTTCTTTGTCAAGTATACCGTAAGCTAAATACTTTGAAGATTATCCCAACGAATTACGATGATTGCAGCCTACCGTAATCCGAAACTAAATCATATGCATCTTCTTCGAGTACCACAATTTATGTAAGTATCTGAAAGCAAGACTATCGCAACTTTTTCAGGGTTGCCACCGAGCAGCAGCGTAAGCTTTCTTTTCTCTGGGGCCCCATAAATCAATCATGAAATGTTTACATCTAATGCTGGCCATAACAATAACAACAATAAAATTATTCGAATAAAGGTAGAGGGCAAAAAATCAATTTCACTTACATGTTTTGCGCTGTTTCTTTTTTTTCTGCATGAAGCTTTTAGCTCTCTCTTTCTCGCGCTCTTTCGGCAAGCTCTCGCGCACGCCCTCTCGCTCGCACCCGCTTCTGTAGTTTGTTTATGCCTCAATCCGTCTCGCTCTGTCTTCTGGTTGTTGGTATGATATTGATGAATTATTTATTTTGTATTACTTTGTTTTGATTCGTTGTTGTTGCTGTCCTGCAGTTGCAATTTGCTTTGTTATCTTCTCACTTATTTGTGTTTTTTAATATTACTTCGTGATTATTTGTACCTTACTTTTCAAGCAAAAGAAAACATAAAACAATAACAACCAGTAACTAAATTTCAGTATTTCCTTGCACCTAATTCAATTCACTAGGTATTTTTACGGCATAACAGTTACAATTCCGCCAAACGGTATTTTCTATGGTACTTGTTCAAAACTTTTTGAAACACTCTTAGTATTTTTTTTGGTTTTCGTTGGACGGGTTGCGGAGAAACAAGCTTAGTTTACATATTGATTATGTATTCATCTCCGACTGCTCTTTGTTTTAATTTCCCCATTATTTTGCTTTAAATTTGTGCATTTGTTTCTTTTAACTTGTTCAATATCAATCAATATTTGTACAGCTGGAGGTATTTTGTTTCACTTTGTTGTAGCTTTAATTTGTGTTGCTGCTTAGCCATTCAGTTGTTGCTAAAAAAAGTCAAAAAGAAATAGCAGTTTAAAAATGGTTCATTTGAAATTGTAATCATTCTGGCTCAATCACAAAAAGCACAAATAGTTGGTACTACCTTTTGAAAGGCACTTCATTTAAAATACTTAAAGTACTTAACTTAAACTTAAACTTTACTTAAATTATATTTTAATTTTTTACTTCCCACTAGCTGTCGAACGAACTTAAAAAAATGTTTATATCATTGTTGATCTGTTCTGTGCTGCCACCTGTTGCTTTATTGTACCTCAGCTGCCGCAAAATGCTTCTTAAATTCCTTTTGTTTTTAGCTTTTTGTTATCTCGTTGACTTTGTGGCTGTTTTGTGAAAATATAAACCGGTTGAATCAAAAAAACAAAAGTTAGCACCACCAGTTGCAAATTAAGGGAATTATTGAACCCGAGATGAGCAACCATGACTGATACATATTTCACTTGATTTACTTTCTTTTTTTGCTGAATTCAACACATTTCGATGGGGCCAATTTATTATCCTAAGCTGCTCGATTGATTGCTATTCCACCTTGTATCACTAGTTTTGTCGCTCAATCTTATGTACATGTTTTTAAACATTTCATGGAGTGCAGTTTTGTGAACTGGTAAGTATGCTAAAGAAAAGTCGAGAATAACATTACAATTTGTTACCTTGGGCGAGAAAGCGACCATTTATTTATTAGGAAATTGGAAATAGGAATTTATTTAAGAAAATGGAATAGTAAAGCATCTGATAATTAACATACAAAGTAAGCACCTTAACGTTTTATCTCGGAATCATGCAACCAGCTAATTCTTTTGGATTTACCGAACTATCCATTAAATGGCATCTGGTCTAGTTTCTATCCCTACCTT